AACAACCTGAGGCGGATCGGCCGAGATTGAGGCTTTTTGCCTCATTCAGCATCGCAACACAGTTGTCATCCTCGAAACTTTTTTTTTATTTGCTATTTAATTAAGATATGCGTAATTTGGCCCCCGCGCGCCGACTATTCCTGCCAACCTTGATGGCCACTCCATTCTGCTTATCAGTCGAGTCGAGCGTGCAAATGTCTGGACGCCAAAAGGTTGCTCAATTTACATGACAACAGAGTGTTTTGCGAGAAACTCCTGCAGGCAAGACGATGCCAAGAACTCTCTGAGATGTGGGATGGCACTAAGAGCAGAACCAAAGACAGTTTATGACCTGGCAGTGGTTCATCTGTCTGCAACTCTCTTAAGTGCTGCAGGCTTTTTATACAGAAATGAGAAAATCAAAATTTTCGCTGGTCGAGATTCAAACGATGAAAGCCTCATAGGTCGCCGTTGGACCTCCAAGAGTGGCTTCCTTGAACATTTTTCACATATTTGTAAAGTGCACGTCCATGTGATTGCCAAATCAGGGATCAAGAATCAGCGTAGAGCCAAGATTTTCATGCAAGGAACTAGCGCAACTTTTACACCTGTACAATGTCCCATGGCTTAATCATATCTGCTGTTGTTGGATCATGGATGATGAACTTGCCTTTTGATCTTTGGACACTTGACACTAGCAACAATCAACAATTGGAGCCGCACAAGTATCCAGTACACACGCATACGGTATATTGCTATGGAACCAGTATATCAGGGCGTTTAAAACGATAAGCAGGAGAAATATGAAATACGATCAAAATTCTAGAAAAGAAAAATATGAAAGTACATATAATGATTGAAAAGTGGTGCTAATGACATTGACAGCAAAAGTAGCACCGACCATTCAGAGGTTAACTGCAACCAAAGATGGTTCTAAGGAAAGAAATGAAAGGAACAGTACCACATTTCAATTGAAGCTTGACACAAAAATGAGCAAAGGTGAAAATATGATCCATCTTTTGGATCAATTTAATCTGAACTGACTGCGCACAACCATTAGCACATCCGACCAAACTCATAATCTCATTGCTTGAGCATCACTTCTGGCCTGCCAATCACTTACAGGAATGGGGGCAATATCACCCATCTTCGAGGATACTTGGGTCTCCCGTCCTTTCCATCAAATAGCTGCAAAGTAAAGTGAAAATGAACATCAAAACAAAGTGAAGAACAGACTAACACGAGTGATCTCAATTCATTACAATTACACTGGTAGTGAATGTTCTGTCAATTTCTCTTTTTTTTTTTTAAAAAAAAAAAAGGCTCTACAACTAGATAGAGAGTTTGGAGCGATAATGAAATTGAGGAATAGCTTCATACTGCAATGATGCATAGATTTATTAAAGCAACTACAGTGACTACACAAGCCACCAGATGAATAACTTAGCAAAATGGTCAGACTCAGATCATTGGGGAAGTTCATACTAGCAGACACTGAAAAGGAGAGATTCTGCTATGGCATCTTGTGCATGTATTTCAAAACAAAATTTACCCACAGTAACAGCAAAAGGTTCATGAACAAGACAGATAGTTTAGTGATCTAAGAAGCTGGTGATAGAATTGTACATTTACATGCATAGGATTTTAATTTTTTTAATCTTCTATCAATTAAATACATATATCTCATTATGAAGAACGTTTAGAAGTCTATCCCCTCTGGATATACACAAGTTTGGATCAAAGTAAGAACAAAAGAAGGCTACCTTCCTCAATCGTCTGTGCTTTGCAAGTGCCCAGTTAGTCATAATGGCAGCTGCAACAACCATGAAAACATAGCCAGCTACGGTTTGCATTGCAATGTTGAATCCCAGCCACTGGTAAATTTCTGTGGTGTAATTGGCACATGTAACGATATTGAAAAGGAAGCCACGTGGGATTTGATATCCTCCACTACCATCAGCAGGACGAAGCTTTCTCAACAAAATATGGCAATAGAAGTTTGCCAATTGACAAGCCAACCCGATACCAAAGCCAATCTTCACTTGGAGATCACTAACAGGCGTGTAAAGTGGGTGATTGACATAATAAGCAATATAGGAGCCAAAGCTCCAGTAATAAGCACAATTACGGAAGACATTTGAAAGTGGGGAAGTGGCATGGCTGAAACGGTGCACGAAGAATGTTTCCATGATACGCTTGAAGTAGTGGAAACACCAGTAGTATAATGCATATGTCTGAACAGGGTGGATGACACGCTTGCCTTTATAGCCGAAAAATTGATACACATTGAAGAAATAGAAAAGAGGATAAAGAATAAGAGGCCCCAAGTATTCCCAGAAGAAAAGTGTGCTATAGGCAACCTGTAGACCTAGGTCCTTGAACACTACAGTCAACTCATTTGTGCTCTCACCAATGTACTCTTTAAGACTCTTCTTGTAGTGAAGAATGGTAGGCTTCTCCTTGGATCCAGGTGGGAGAGGGAGGGTGAGTCTTTGTCGAGAAGGATAGTATCTCTTGGCTGTTAACAAAAACGAGATTAATACAACACCTCATACGGATTAAGGAACAATTACCAGAAACAAAGAGACAAAACAAGCTACAGACAAGTAGTCCAGGAAAAAAAAAAAAGAAAAAAGAAAAAAACCAAAGCAAGGAGCAATTCAAAGGACCAATGCTGTAAACAATCAATGAGTTTCAGATGATCCAATATGTGGATGTTCTGGCACTGAAGAGCATTGTCACCAAATGACCAGGAATCATGATAAAAATTTGAATCTTGAAGCTCTAAAAGTAAACCTTAATAATCAGAAGTGTATAAACTTTTTTTCACCCTTTAATTTGTATAAGTTGACTGTGAAATATCTCTAAATGCGCTACACAATTCTACAGAATGGAAAAGCAATTGAGAAACTTGATGGCACTAGCCTCAAAATTAAAAAATGCCCACATTGTCACAGAATGTTATAATTCTGTGTGCTGCTCAAACATCCAATGCAACTAATGATCTGAAGATAAAATCTTCCATATTTAACAATATAAACATCAAAATTAAACTCATGAATAGCGTAGCAACTATTCACAACATTATCGTACATGCACAACTGTATGCATTTACTTTGATCTTTCACAATTGTTTAGACTCCTGACAGTGAGGATTTGATTCTATGAGAAAGAAATGAAACATTTCATGGTTACTAGTAAAGAACAACGCTTGGAAAACTAAGTTCACTAAGGAAAGCCCTGTACATTTGACAGGGTTCTGACAGTCTTCACAGGGGAAAGTTTGGCCACTTCACCTCACTGCCGTTGCTCAATGAGTCCATAATGCTCATGAGATGAACCCCGATGGCGGAGAAACTCAAGATTCAGATCAATGTGGCCTATCAATAAACCTTAGATTTTAGCTTCGCGAAAGGGCCATCTGCCCTCGATCTTTACAAAAGAGGCAAGAGAAAGTGTAAGAAATCTCAGAACTTTCGCTCCTTCCCACAGTCAATTTTAAGAAAGGTTCAAACTGGATATTTCTATCCATTCAATTGAAAAAAAATAAAATCGAACGAAAACACGGCTAATTGACCCAGAAGATAGTAGGATTGAACAATAATAACATACTGCTTGTAATAGTAAAAATAAACCGTGCCAATGTCGAGAAATGGGTATGTTTGGATTGTGGACTATTTTCAAAAATTTATTTGCTGGCATGATCAACCTATTTTACAAACATTTTTTTTAATCTCACGGGCATCACATAAAAAAAATACTATAATATCTACTATCCAGGTATAAAAAAGAGGGAAACTTGCAAGAACAAGCAGACTTGCACAAGCACTCGTAATAACAAACACGAATTCAGCTCAGATTATAAACCTCGAAAATAACGAAACCCAAGAAAGCAAAGCAACGTGAGAAGCATTTTCTACTGACTTACTTCGCTTATGGATTGCCTCCTGAAGATCAGCAACAGTAGCCTACAAGGACAGAGCCCAAAAGCCATCATATTTTCTCTCAATTCTAGTGTTGCAAATAAAAAAGACGACCCCTTTTAGCTAAATTGAGAAAATAACAAGAGAAGAAGAGGACAAATAGAATAGCATACGGAATCATCGAGGTCAAGGCCACCCTTTACTAGTTCTCTGCCGCTACGTGTAACAACCGTCACCTTCATCCTTCAAAGAGTAAGCCTCCGACAGACACAGCGAGAGAGGGTACAAAAGTTCTGAGAGGTGGAACGAAGATCTGAGGATCGCTGGTGTTTCGGGACTGGGGGGGGAGTTATAAATATAATAATTAATTATAAGAGTACTGAAATGTTTATGACGATGAAAAATGCTGATGGGGGTGGGGGCGGAGCACGTGAGTTGGCAAATGAGTGGGCGTTGCCTTGAATCTAATTTCGATCCAATGGCAGTAATTAATGGCGTGTGGTTGGGAAGTAGATAAACAGCCCATTCGCACCGATGAACCACCTTCCCGCTACCGGTCCTATTCTGGTAGTACTACGCCACTACAGTTCACGAATATCTGAAAACAGAAAAATCCTCAGTCAATTCATGGGCTCTTTCCCTGATTTGACTACCCTGTTCCAACTTTTAGAGCAATCAATTCTGTTACTTCGGATTATTGGACCAGATACAAGAATTATTACACACAACAACCAACTGGACTACTATTGTTCCAGTGAGGATTGTGCGAGGGAACTACTAGGTTCATTAATTAATTCAACAGAATTGGACTTGACAATACTCAGCACGGCAAGTAAACAAATTATATGTATGCAAGTGGGATTAAGGCCCTATATTTTGAAGAAATGTACTCTCAAGAAATGACTTGACGAACCGCTGTAACAATCCAATTTGCTGATTCTTGTCATTTCTCCAACCCCTAACCTTTTAAGGAGAGATTTGAAAGGAAGTATGTGGAAGAAAAAAGCAGTTTTAGAATCGGTATTTTCTTCTAAAATGACTTATCATTGGCAGTGGCTATTATGTTCTTGCATTTCTCCTAAGTTAGATATTCTGAGATTTTTTTTTTGCTTCACACAAAATTTTGCGCTCGGTGGAAAAGAACAGGGTGGGATTGCCAATTACTCCGGTTTGTCATGGGAATGGCATATCAATTAGTATGCAACATCAACCATGCATATTTAATACAAACAGTTGATTACACGTGCAATTTGCTTGTAAGTATCAATTATATCTAATTTGACAATAAAATACGGCTGAATTTACTTCAATTTTTCCTTTGCATAACTGCTAATATTAGTAAACAGTAGTCGCAAAGACAAGCCAAATACTACACTAAAAATTATTGCAAGGATTTGGGGATTGAGAATGAGCTCAAAGACAGTTGCAGTTCTCCATCTCTAACTTGATGTGGATTATTAACATGCCCTAGACACGTCACGAAGAGATCAAACTTGAACCGAAATTCAAATACTAGAAGACAAGTCCCCACCAAAAAAAGGAAAAATGGGGATCCAAATCACAGTGGAACTCATGAAATTGTATATACTTAAAAAAAGTTTCAAATGTATAAATTTATGAAGCACCACTGCTGGTACTGGTAGTGAGTGACTCCTGAATTACACCTCAACAGACAAGTGAAACTGGAAATTCATCAGTGTTTTTCCACGGGTTCTCGTTGAGCCCCATCAACGCTTTTCTCAATTGGAGGCAAAGTCTGCAAGCTCACCAGCAAACTACATTAGAGGCTAACTTCACAAAAAAGGTCCCAGTTAAAAATACTAGTAAAACTCAAGAGGAAAGTTTCGCACGGTTCGTCTGGGCATTTTATCGAACAGTTGTACAGCTGTGTGAGTATTTAGAGGGAGAGAGAAGGGGGGAGGGGTGTTACCAGATCAGGCTTAAATATGTTGTGGACGACCGAGGCACCGGCGAGGAGCGAAACGATCACGACTGCGCACGACCAAGGTAACGACGGCGTTCCAGTTGGCGGTTTCCCCCCTCCAAATTTCTGATTCATTTTCCACTTCCCAAGTTCGCAATTCCCTTGTACAAGACGCCCTCCAGTCGGAGTCGCCAGAAAGAGCGTTATACACTTGAATGCTTGATAATTATCAGGCCCATTATGATAACAGATGTCTTTCCAGGAGCCCAAACGTATATTCTTTGGGATGTGTTCCCAACGGCCAGATCAATGTCCAATGTCCTCTATCCGTCGGGATAAATCTGTGCTTGACTTCCCCGAAACTCCTCGCGGCCCAAAATAAACTGCACAAAAGAAAATGTCAAAGTTTTGCTTTATTTCGCGAGGAATAATTTTTTTTTTCTGTAAACAAACCGAAGCAAAAAATTTTTTTTTTTTAAAAATCACAATAACCCGTGGAGCTAGTTCGCAAAAGTTTTTCAAATGTATAAGCATTTATCTTTTCGAATAATGTTCTTAAGATAGTTTTCTTCATAATATTAGATAACTTTATTGCACAAAAAGAAAAATAAAAAAAAGAACTCTCAGAATTTAGATGTTAATTTGAATTTAAAATTCAATAGTGATGGTTTATATTGTTAGTATATATAAAATTTACTCTAAAATAATTTTACTGGATTCAACCATCTAGACTTTTTTGCTGGTTTTTATTTTTGTGCTACTCCGTAGTTTGGAGATGTGACAGTTTCTTAGGCCACAAGAAACCCCAAACATGCATGCACCACCGCGTCCAAAACACGTAATCCTGGTAGATGAAAAAGGAAATCACTGGAGAATTTCGCCACAATTTAGCTGCAAGTTTTTTTCATTATTTACACAAGGTTCACAATACACGTCAACTCAATTACCTCATCAATTTTCCTCCATAAATATACCAGAGCCAGGAGGGCATACTGTATCTATCTACATATTCTACAGCCTGCAAAATACAATCAACTGCTGGAAACTGTCCGTATAAATGTAAGTTCTTGAATTATTTTTCATATATGATAATAAGCTTCGTCGTCTTTGTTTACCAATAGTCCTTAGGCACATCATCCTGTGGAGTTATATGAAGTGGTTGCACCAAAATAGGAGTTTGTCCTCTGCGAGAAGAGATCTATAATATATGAATGACCCTGAATCTATTCAATTGCAGTATTTTGCTATCCCGGAGTACGTAGGAAATAGGAAATGGCTGGATTATCTGAAACACGCAATTACTATTATTATTTTTTAAATTTCTCCTTCTTTTTTTTTTTTTGTTCTTTTTGAACATATTAAGCTTAAGACCCCTAGAAGAAAGTTCAGAGCCCGATTACTTCTTTCTTCTCTCTTGTATTTGGAGTACATTTGCATTTTTCTGCTGAATGCCTTTGAATGCTTTTAATATTGTCAACGCTTCTATCAAAAAACTGAACCCTGACAATTCTTTGATTGTCTTTTTTTTCTTTTTTTGCTGTTTTGGTTCAAATTTAAGGAACATAAACATATATGCACACTATAATCTACATCCTGAATATATTTTGACGTAATGGAGCACAATATCTTAAAGAATATCAGTTAGAATAAAAGATATTGAATCTGTACATATTTTTTTCTTTAAAATAAATTGGCAATCTATATATGATTTTGCTATTAAAATTGTTACAAACATGGTAAGGTGTTCTCTTTTGCTTTCCCTAAGCATGTGGGATTTTTTTTTCTATGTTGTATGATTGAAAGGACACAGACTTTCCTAGGTCTTTCTTTACTCTTGAATTGCTGGAATGCTAGTCTTGCAAAGTAAAGGTAATAATAAATTTTAGGGTAGTTAAAGAAGAGACCGAGGTCCTCAAGCGCTAAATATGAAGTCGTTGGTTCTTACTATGAAAGTAATTTATTAGAGCTTATATGCTGTTCAACTGTATTGTTATAAATTTTTGTGAAAACCACTAATATGCGTTTTGTGTCCTAATATAGTCTACCTAACAATTCAAAAGTAAAGTAGATGAAAACTTCTGTTTGTTCAAATATATTCAACAGCAGTTGGTGGATTGAATAATAACGCGGACGTATTCTAATACAAACCTCATGCAAATATCTAGAAGTGGTACTGTTGTACCTAGTCGCTACCTGATTAGTCCTCTTGTTGTGTATTTTCTGTGGGAGCTAGGGCAGAATAATGATCAATGCTTGCGCGTTAATCTTAATTTATACTTGCTGTACCTTATGTCCGATTGCCCTTTAATTTTATACAGAACGCAGCTATAACCCAAACAAATTTGTTCCATATTTCGGTCAATGGCTTACTCTCTGCCCTTGGTTGCACCAAGCAACTTCATTCTCAAGCTTAAAATTCACTGCTCGAAATGCGAGAATAAGCTGAAGAGGATGCTGCTAAGAGCTCCGGGTGTTCATTCTGTTAGCATAGACGCAAAGCAAGGAACTGTTGCTATCTCAGGCAATGTGGCGCCTTCCACAATCTTGATGTTGCTTGAAAAGGGAGTAGGCAGAAAGGCGGAGCTTTTGTGGGAGCAAAGCCCTTCTGCTTCCTCTACTTCTTCAAAGCTAGATGGCCAGAATTTAGAAATTATAGCGGAATCGAAAGTGTTTGATGAACGATTTAATGACCCGAATGTGGTAGCCCAATTGGAGCGACTGTCAGGAATCCAAGGGTTGAAAAATATTCAGGTAACCTATTCCAAGACCATTAAGTTGAGCTTCAAGGGTGAAAAAGACGATTTAAGTGACAAAAATGTGGAAGTTACTGCTCGGGACCAGGGTAGTGGGATTTTTTGTGAGGCTTCTGCGTCGTGTTGCGGTGGCCATAATCATGGTGGTGTGCATAGGAATGTGCACGGAAATGGAATTGGCGGATGCTGTGGAAATCATGCGGCTGGTTATCCCATTGCTTCATATGTTTGCCCTGTGCACAGTTGTGACGGAAATTCCTACTGGCCGCCACATGCATGTGGATCTGTACCTCCACCGGCTCCGCAACCACCGTGTCCTGGTTGTAGTCCATCAGCCCCGCCTCTGGGGACTACTTATGATACCCCGCCTCCACCGCCGCCACCAGCTTCAATGGGCTATTCGTACTTTAGCCCTTTCAGCGATGATAACCTTTCAAGTGGCTGCAACATCATCTGATGCTAAAATACTACTGCGCATACATATTATGACGTAGCTTCAAGAATAACGAGCACATGGCCAAACTCCAGCAATTGGCGCACCTATTCAGCTTGCTAATCATTTCTTTTCTTAAACAAAGATATTTTGGCTTGAATTGATGTTGCGTCATTAATTTGAGTCTGTAAAATATTCCACCGGTTTGTACAAATTATAACTTTGATTATCTGCGTTCCTCCATTTTCATGTAATTTCTGACAGTCTTGCTGCAAGATGTCAAAATATAAATGTGTGACTATTCTTCCACAAGGCTAGTAAAAGCTTCTTTTTCGGTTCTCAGTCAGCCGAAACATTTAATCGAGTTCACTAAAATGAGAGTCAATAAAAAAAAAAACAGAAAAAAACCGATTGCTATTAATTTTTCATGCACATTAATTTGCAACCGTGAGATACAATAACTTGGTGGAAAGGGGAAATAGTACTGCAAAATATTTAATCCCAAATTCTGCGGGATTCGATCCCTGGAATGATTAAGCTCTCTTAGGGAGAGAGAAAGCTGAGAAAATTGACGATATTGCAGCGAACAAGAATCCTAGTAGACAAAGGCTGGTGGCTGCATCAGCCTTGCTTAAGAATTTATCAACCCCAGAATCACTCCGATCTACAAGTCTCTTAAAATCTTGGGTCATACCGAAACTCGCTGCAGCGCCCGTTGCAAGTACGTATGATATAACCTGGAAAGCCAATTTATATAGTTATTATGCAGTTTATAATTAGAATAATGTTCATTTTATATTGTCCTGGAGTTCACATCTTGATCTAGACTTTCTTTTAATGGCCATGGCTGTTAAAAGAAAAAGCAGGGAAGCATACGCGTATTGGACCAGTCAACCGTTAACAAGTCAGCGATGTTTCTTAATTGAATTGGTTAATTAGTCAATCAATTTCACATGTTCGATTCACGATTTTGTTTAGGAAAATATGGCCATATCAGTGGTGGATTTAAGGTGAGGGCCCCTTAAATTCTTATAGTACCTATAAAATTTTGATATAATATCAAGTGTGTCTCTTGAATTTTTTTAGGAAGGATGTAAAAAAAATTACGTGGTCCTCTAAATTAGTTCATAAGTTAAAAATTTTAAAAGAATATGTGGGCTATAAAATTTCATTTAAAGTAAACTGAAAAAAGCTTTTTCATTTCAACTTATTGGTGAATTTTTTTTTTTTTTGCTTAAAAAACTAGAAAAAGAGTAGGTAAAAAATTTTAATGTTGTTTTTGTCTCCACTGAGAATTTTTTCTGGCTCCACCATTGGACCATATTTTCGAACCCTTTTGAGCAAAGTATTTTCGAAACCTGAAAGCTAAGAAAGAACGGGAACATGTAATATCAATTCAGGCTAACTGTAATAGTATGCTTATGAAGTCCTCCTAATATGCTCTAAAAAAATGTTATGTGCCAAAATTGTATGTAATTAAAATCAGAAGTAATAGAAAGATCCATAAAATCAGTTAACTTCTTGGAATCAATCCGCTTACAGCTACTTGCTAACCCTTTGTTCAAGTATTAGGCCTACTTTCTTTCCACTTTTTTTTTTTTTTTCTCAATCATCTATCTTATGTCATACACGTCAAATCACAAAAGTTATTACAGTAAATAATCTTTACTCCAAATGGAGTCATTGATTTATATTTAGGTAAACCAATAATACATAATTTTGTTTGTGCATTGAATGAGAAGTGGGAACAAAAGTGGAATATAAAGGGAAGAGAAGGTCATATACCTTGTCACCATAGAAGTCCAACTGAAGCATCCCGTCGCCGCCGATGCGATTTCCAGTGCTTACCAGGAAGATGGTTAGTGCAGTTTGGAAAAGAGTATATGCAAGTCCAATAACAATGGCACCCAGCAGGTACCTGCAGAACTCGAGAATAAGTTTGAAGAAGCTGAAATCCCACTAACTAGCCAAGAAACATATTTTACAAACCAAAGTATATAAATAATTAATAGTCACATGATGGTTTTTTAAATAATGATTAGTCATTTCTATGAATATCATTCATGGTTATAACTTGTAAACATTTCCGAACTTAAAATTACTACCGTGACTAGAGGTGGAGTTCATGACAATTACCGGTAGGCATGGAAATCGGTGAACTTGGTTTTGACATCACCATAATCCGATCTTTCGGTGTAAGTGTTGGTTATGAGGATGATAACGGATATGAGCAGGCAGACGAACGTTAAAATCCTCACCAACAGGCTCACTATCGGAGAAACCGCGGTGGAAGGTGGAGGAGCCATATTTGTTCAGTCTTCCTGGCCAAGGTGGCTTTCTCGTGCTGATGGACTATATAAGTTGGTGGAATTGTGGTAGTATTGCTAGGGAAACTAATACATATAGGAGTAGTATCAAACTTTTACAACTTAGACAGCTGGTATCAATCCATATACTCCTGTTATGTAAACCATTCTCTTAATTTATACTACTGGACTACTATAATATAATGCTATCTATCATCGCCGTGCAGGAGTTGACTCTGACTTAATGATCACCAAACAAGTCAACGACTTCTTTTTCTTCGCGTACGAATGACAAAGCGCTCCATATTTTGTACTCAGCTCCCACATGCATCGTTTACTTTGATGAAAGGAAAGCTGCGGCTAATTGCTAAGCTGTTTGCTGGTAATTACATGGTTGACGCGAAGACAGCGCGAATGTCAACCTTCAAAATTAATCGAACGGTTCTACTTTTAACTTTTGTATAATTGTATGGATATATAAAGAAGAGGAATTAGCTGGCGACCAGATTGAATGCTTAAATAGTGCTTGACTCCAACACATACATCCATGAGAAATACGGAGGAAAAAATGACTTCTCATTCTTTTCCGTTTTTATTTTGTTCATTACTAAGAATGGCTCATTCAACTGAGAATATAATTTCCTACAAGAATTGGATGCAGCTATAAATGATATCGTGATTCCTGATAGACGTTTTAGCCTAGCTACATGTATAAACGGAAAGAGGAAAAAGATTTCGGGCAGGCTATGAAAAGAATATAATTCCTATTCTTTTTATTGTTTGAAAATGAATCCTAATTCTCATTACTAGCTCTATTTTTCCTACTTAAAACAGAGCCTAAACGAAGCATCCAATTTGTGATCGACATCAATGTTGAAACTTCTGAAGTACTATTTTTTCTTTGATTTAGCAAGTATGTTTTCAATTTTCGCTGTTATAGTACTATTATAGTTAATATGAAAACGTAATTAAAGGACGTTGTCATCTCATCATAATTAGCTAGCTAAGTGAGACTCGTCACGACGCGTTTTGCACTTGATCATTAGTGGTACACCACAATTATGGAGAAGTTTCCCAAGTTTATGATTTTGAACAAGAAGTTAATTTCCCCAAATTTCATTGCATGAGTACATTCAACCTCTCACACCATCAATTTACAGGCAGCACAATTTAACTATGCAAGTCAAACTGCCTATTCACAATTTGCCGTCAATTACCTAACAAAGATTCTTATAACGCTGCGGTCAACGTGGGGTGGGGCTAAAGTCAGTTAACTCCTTTCCTTTCTTGTGTCCTTGACTGGCCGAATTTTCCGGTCCAATAAAATAGACAAGCTACAGGGCTCGAGCTTTTTATCCTCAGGGTTTGAGTTTTATGGTATAGCATCCTATCTCAGAAACTCTCTTTTTGACTTTAAGAATGCGTTTGGAAGGAGGGATTTGGCAAGAAAAGAAAAAGAAATCGATAGAAATATGAGTTTTCATCATTTAGAAGTTTCTTGAAGTCAGAAAAGAAAGGAAAAGGAATGAGTTGGCCAGATCTGTTCCACACCAGAGCGGAGAAAAGTTTTTTGCCCATTTGTTGGCCGATTTGGACATAAAATAGAAGAGTGCCTGTATAATAACATTCTATATATAACGCAAGAATACATATTTTACCTTCATCTTCCTTGATACGTACGCCGCAGTTTTGGAGAAGTTTCCCAAGTTTTCGTTTCTTTGAATAGGAAGTTCCCCCAAATTTCATGGGCATGATTATATTCAATTTTTATCATACCAATCAAGAAAATCAGAAACGGGTAGCAAAATGTAAGCCAAACTGCCTACTTATAATTTGCAAGCGTCATAAGAGTTGCGGTTGCTTCCAATGACGAGCAATCTCCTACCAAAAATAACGGAAGAAAAAAAAAAAAGAAATACCAGCAATTAGATCTCGACTGAGAGGGGTTATATTTCCCGTTTTGACCCTTGTCGTCAGCCTAAAAGTAGGAGCATGCATTACGCAGTGGTACATTTGCCCTACGTCATAGTTTCTAGAGCTTAAAACCTAGTAGTCACTAATTCATGTCTAACTGGGTTTCCACAAGTGACTAATCAGATCACTGGAATTTGGTCGGTGTATAATCAATTATCTCTTTTGGCAAAGCTGTAATGCCCAACTGACTGTTGAATGGATGGCACTCCAATTGGTCTGGAACCGATGTTAAAATGATTCTTTTGGGTTATCTTTACAAAAATGCTGCGCCGTTAATGCTTACTGATGTGATAAATAAGCAGAAACCAAACAAGTTTACATAGGAAAGGCTTGAGCAATACTATCATCACATTATTCAGATATACAGTTTGGCAACTTACGAAAAAACATACAGAACCAAATTACGAGCGTCCCAGACAATCCAACGACATAAGAATTAACAACAGCAGAAAGGCAAAAAAAAAAAAAAACTGCAAATTGGAGTGAGCTGCTTCTGCTCAGTCCACTTCCTCAAGTTTAAAACCAAAACCGCTACTAGATCCAGATTCCGTGAAAGGAGATCCAGATCCAGTGAAAGGAGGATGATCGTGCATGGGAACCCGTCCACCATCAGCACTCCGGTATATCTCGAGGATTATCGGGTTCCAGATGCTCTCAAGCTCGCTCCTCTTCTCCTCAAATTCATATGTTTCTGCATGCTGATTTCTTGCCAACCATTCAACGGAGTCCTCAATCGCATCCTCA